AGTTGAACTGGGTGTCTGAGGTTCTCTCTCCACCCCATCCTTCTCCTTCCTCCTGGCAGCGAAGCTCTCTCTTTGCTTGAGCCAATGGTCGTCTTTTGTGCAGGTCAATGGCCTCTCCTCCAGGTTCTCTCCACCTTCTTCTTTTCAGGACAGTCCTTCCCCTCACAAATATGGATTCTCAGAGGCGTTTCTCTAGTGCTCATTGGCCCAACCTGGGCTGGAGGGGTCTCCGCCTTGGAGCCAGGGCAGCTTTGAAGCTTATCACAAGGAGGCACCTTCCCTCACTACCAAAAAGCGCCTCCGCCCCTGCAAAACCAACCAGGGCAGCTTTGAAGCTTATCACAAGGTGGCCCCTTCCCTCACTACCAAAAAGCCCCTCCGCCCCTGCAAACCCAACACAATGAGTTTTTTGTTTGCTTGCAAAAATGGGGAGTGTCCTGTGGCCATGGGTGGTTTTGTAGGCAACAGAGGACCTGAACACTCCTTCTTAGGCTTTTCTCCTGAAATGGGAAGCTTCACAATTTTAGTAATGTTTTTACTCCTGTTTGTATAATACCCCTGAACCCCAGCAGCAATTTAGACAAGTTCCTCTCCCTCTTCTCTGTTTATAGAGCGAGCAAGCTTAACTGAGACAAAAAATGGTCCTCATGGAAAACAGCTTTTGGGGTTTCTAATGATTTTTATTGAGATTTTATTCTTTTTTTTTTTTTTTTTTTTTTTAAGGAATCAATCGCAAAAAATGTTCACTTGCTTTTAAGTTTAAGGACCTGAATTATGAAGTCATACATTTAGTGTAGGTTTAAACCTTGTTTAAGGAAATATTCAGGAATATTTTTTGTCTTTCATGTAGACTTCATTTGGACTTAAGTTCTTGCTTAAAGTTTAAAACTGAATGTGTGCTTGAGGATTCTTCATTAACTGAGTCTATGGTATATATTTAAGGGACATTTTTTGGTACCCAGGACCTGGAGTGGAATCGAAAACAAAAACGGTCTAGAAACCCTCTCTAGGAAAGGAGAAGCTACCTAAAGATAGTCAGTAGGAAATACTGAACAGAAAGCCATGTCCAAAATTACACCTTTGCTGCAGCTTAGGCGCGTGACCAGGTATGCAGAAGGTATTTCCCTCCAGTGAGGTTCCCTGGAATGGAAGCCACACATGAAAGTTAGTTTCTGTAGTTTGTTCTGTGAAAGCACCGATGTGGGCTGAACTCGTGCAGTGTGTCACTCGCTTTGTGTGTTTTAAAGGTATTTCATTATTAATGCCAGGAAGTGGAAGATACAAGTGCAGGGCTCCTGACACTGAGAGAGAATTTCGAGCCTTATTTTAGGAATGTGCTTAGGCTACAGGTTATGAGGTCATGATAATTTTAGATTCTTTCACCTTGTATCTGAGTGAGCAGGGTACTGGCAGGGTCTGTGCCCTGTTGGGGACCTTAAGTACTCTCCTGAATCAGGTCCTAACACTCTAAACACATGGGAAGAAAAAATACAACAGAATAACTATGTGAAAAACTCATAGGAGAAGAGAATGAGACAGAAGCAGAAAAAGGATGTGGCAGAAACAAAGGCAAGAATGGAAAGAAGAAGGTGCAGGCACTGATTGTTACAGGAGAAAAGACTTAAAACTCAAACTGTTGAGGTGAATGGAAGGATTCCCACTGGCATCACTGGAATTTTGATCCAACTTAGATAAAGGAAAATGCAAATGGGAAGGAATGTTGCTCACTTCTTTTAGAAAGAAGTCAAACAAACCAAAAAAAAAAAAGAATCATGAATACTTACAAATCACTTAAAATCATGGCAGCTTCAAGTTTGTTTTGTTTAATCTACAGTAGTATTCTGTGACAGGAAAAGGGTTTTTTTTTTCCTTCTTGCAATCTTGATAAAATGAAAAAAGCCAACTTCAGATAATACACAAATTAGCAAACATATGCATAGGGATGCTTTATTTAATTCTAAGACAAATACCTACAAGGTGAGTTGAATTTTATTCTGGAGCTGCTCATCAGCTAAGACCTCTGATGGGAGGCTAGGGGACTGGCTTAAACTTGAGAACCTTTTAGAAGCTTAAGACATAATTATAAGTGAATAATAATTAAGTGATACCACTTCAGATGTGCCATCCGCAGCTGTCACAAAGTGAATGTGATTAGTTGTGGGAAGTATCGATCTCACAGTAAGCATAATGCTCTTAGCTGACCGAGGTGTAGGTTTTTAATCCTCAATGGGTTTAAGAAGATCTTAAGGAGATCAAGTAGCTTAAACATGTGAGAGATGGACAATATAAAATAATAAGTTTAATTTGCTTTGAATTTGTCATGTTTCAAAAGCGATGTTAGATCACAGATCTGTTTTCTGTTTCTCCCCTATATTACTGAAATAATAATGCCATAACTTACAGAACCAATTGAACCAGGAAAGACGGCTTGCCAGAAAAGCTTCCTTGAATGAAGAAGAAAGAAGTCCTGTTATCATGCAGGAAAAAACCAAAAAGCTTGAGCTGGAAGGTAGCTCTGGCATCCCGTACGCCAGAGACACGACTGCTGACTCTGCTGTAAATGGAAGCCAGACGGAGGGCAGTGAGAAGGAAGCCAGCCGCTCTGAAAGCAGCTTTGATGCAGACAGTGAAGCCTCAGAAAGTGAAAGTGCTTCGAAGCAAACAGCTTTTGGCCCATCCAGCAACGTGTCTGGTTTGCAGGGCAACCACAAAAATGTTAAAATGCCACACAACAAACCAGGTGACAGTCCCGATGAGATGATTTCCAGCGCCATATCCAAACTCAGCTTCTGTGATACTCTAAAGGAAGATAAAAAATCGAGCCGTGGGGATCCAGCGTTGGGCTTATCGAATAATTCCATGTTCTCAGTAGACAAATCCCCGCTATCCCAAAACCCTCAAAATGCTTTTCAGACGCTTTCCCAGAGCTACATAACGAGCTCAAAGGAATGTTCTGTTCAGTCCTGCCTTTACCAGTTCACCTCTGTAGAGCTCCTCATGGGGAACAACAAGCTTTTATGTGAGAGCTGCACAGAAAGGAAACAGAAGTATCAGAAGAAAACCAACTCCACAGGTAAAGTGCTTGTACCTGTCTGCACACTACAAACTTGCCTCTCAAAAGCTGTGCGCTCACTGCTGTTGCATTACTCCAGCATGGGCCCCCCACCTTGTGGCTAAACAACCAGCCTGGTCTAGTGGAAGGTGTCCCTGCTGATGGCAGGGGGTTGGAACTAGATGATCTTTAAGGTCCTGTCCAACCTTAACCATTCTATGATTCTAAAAAGAAAATGTCTCCCCAAGCAGAACTTGCTTGTAACAACTTACAACTTCATCCTGTGAAGGCAACAACACATAAATTAGAACATAATCGTAGATGTAACTTAGAATTTATTTGGCATCTCTGTTTTATCCAAGATAAGTAATTTAAAGGTGACCAGAAACTGAATAGGCTCATTGTTCGGTATTAAACTCCGCTGCTGCTTGTTCTTTACAGTCCTAGAAGCTTTGAAATAAATGCTGTAATATTCAGCTCTAGCAATGTAAGTACCCAGGGAAGTAATGCAATTAAGTATGTAAGAGGGGAAAAAAAAGACACTTGCAATGAAGAGGGGAAAAAAATCTTACAAAGCTTTGTAAAAATGGAGATGAGAGAGAACTACCTTCTTGTGACAATGTTTTCCTCAACATTTGTATAGCTCAAGCAGACCCCTGGGCTTCACTGAGTAAAAAAAAACCAAAACAATTTAAATATAATGAAAAATGTAAAAAGGACTAGAGGATATTTTTTTTAATGTATAGTAATTCAGAAGGATATTTTGATTATTTGTAAGTAAAATACAGAGGGAGGTCTTAGAGTAACAAAAATTGCCCATTTGCTGTGAATTTATAGATGTCTGGAGAGATACAAGTCAAGCATGAGTAAATTCAGAAAAATTCATCTAAAAATAGTATTTCATAATAATTCATTTATCATTATTCTTAGAATAAGTGCTATATAAATAATATTTTGGTTCCATGGGCACAGTGAAAAATGGAAAAAGAAAATCATTATAATTTTTTTTCCCTTCTAAAACAAAAGATTGAAGAAGTCCCCTACTTTTACATGAAATGCTCCATTCTACCTCAAATGAAATATTTTCTTTCGGACATGTGTAAAACCAGTAAATTAATTAATTTTTTTCAGCGAAAAAAAGATGCTGGTGGCTTGTTGCCTTTTACTGTACAGCTGGCCACTGAGCTACTTTTGGTAAGAGCCTGGGGTTCAGTTCCCTCTGCACCACAGGGTGACTGGAGTCCACGTTGCCTAGTCCTGCGTGCTCAAGCCAGCAGGTTCTGAGGCATCCTGGAGTAGACACCCCTCCTCACACCTTTCTCTTAAATAAGCACAAACTATGTAGTCATACAGAAAGAGCAGAATAATGGAAAATGAATCTCTATCTTAGTGGTTAGGACATTAGAATAGATAGAGACCCGTGCCTTCCATTTCTTGTTCCAGTGATCATCCATTTATTGCGGGGGAAATGGTTTTAACAGGAAAGTTGAGTGCTATGCTAAGAGACGGTGTAGGTATCTCAGTGTGCAAGCTGACCTAGATAGTGTACCTGCTTCCAGCTTCTGATCTGATTTGCACAGGATGGGCTAAAACAATGCTCAGATTTGGCAGATTATGTTTACTAAAAACTACAAAAATGAGAAAATATTTTTCTGCTACTCCATAAAATTTCCCTTGCCTTTTATGTAACATGTACAAAATCTTTGCAACATAGATCTGTTCTGTCAGTTTAAAAACTGCTTAAAATTCTGTGTGACTGCCTTCACTTTACAAATTATTTTGATATTCATAAATACAGAAAAGAAAATGGAAGGTGTCTACACCAATGCTCGAAAACAGCTGCTGATTTCTTCAGTTCCTGCTATTCTTATTCTCCATCTGAAAAGATTCCACCAGGTAAAAGGCCAAAACCCTCTTGTATATTCCTCCGCCTCACTGGTAGATGAGCAATTATTTAAGTGTCATTGTGCACACTGATACTTGCTTTTTATCTGGAGAGCTGGTAGAACCACTATTTGAAACATGCTTATGTTTTTTTGATTGTCTAATACCTTCAGAGTGCATTTAGGCAGTATCCAGGGAAACCTCTTACATGTCCATCATGCTTATGTGTAGCAGGCGCTGTATTGAAAACATAACAAAGAACGTTTATGTCAGTTACAACCTTATTATTGGGTTTGGTTTATTTTAATGGTATAGTAAAATACATCTTAGCTTTAAACAGCTTCTCGTAAAAATATTTATCTTACAGTCTTTTTTTTTTTCCCTTTTCTTTTGAAGGCTGGTTTGAGTCTACGGAAAGTAAACAGGCATGTGGATTTCCCACTGATTTTAGACTTGGCACCGTTTTGTTCCGCATCCTGTAAGGTATGCATTTCAAATCTGTGATCTTATTGCACTTCAACAGTTGTTGTCCTGAGCACAGATTAAACCGGATTGATGATGATGATGATGATGACTACTCTTCCTTCATTTCCTAGAGAAAATATAGAGTGAATGTTTTCAAATAGTATCCCGAGATCAGAATTGTAACTAATTGAAATTCCATTCCTATCAAGAATATCGCAGATGTTAACTAGTACTAGTTAAGCTGTGGTGCCCTGATGGTGGCAGCGGATCTGACAGCATTAAGGACAAGTAGTGCTGCTTCCATGGTAACTAAAGTCAATTAATACACTCTCGAGTATTTTTAACAGATGTATTTCACCACGGGAAATGCTGTGGAGGTCTGCTTCTTTTAAAGTAATACTGTTGAAAGCTGGTAGAGAGAGACCTGTAAAATTCATAGTGAAATAACTTTTCTTTGTTTTCTGTGTTTCTGGGAACGCAGAATGTCACGGATGGCACAAGAGTGCTGTACAGTCTTTATGGAATAGTGGAGCACAGTGGCTCAATGAGAGGTGGTCATTATGCGGCGTATGTGAAAGTCCGAACACCTTCCAAGAAATTACTGGAGCACATTTCCACCACCAAAAATGTGCTAGGTATGTACAAACACAGCCTCCCTTCTCTCTGAGCAAAACCAAAAGCAACCACTGGCTACTGCTTCTTATCGTTAAGGGGATTTATAGCAAATAATTGTTTTAGCTCAGAATATCCTGTTATTTTTAGGGCCGTGTAAAGAGATTCTTTTTTTTCCTGTTGCACCCAGCATATGACCTACATCTGTATTAACTCCATGTAGAGCTGAGTGAATAAAGGAATTCCGGTACAGTTATTACACAGAGAATTGATGGAAAACTCTCTTCTCTTTCCTAGTCAAAATAGCATGCCTGGATGAATAGTTGTACCCTGTAAAATGTAATGTAATTCTTTGGCATATTTGGTATTTGAAAATGTTCTAGTACGAGAACCGAAGCCATGACAATTTAAATGAAATTTTCCCTATATTTGAGCATTTTGCCTTTCTTAGGATTGAAATTTTTTTAATGCTTAAAAGTCTGGAATACTCTGGTTTAATGTGAACAGCAAGAAACTTTTTCATAGAGGATTTGAGGTTTGCTGTAGGGTTTCTATTGGTATTTTGAGAACAGCATACTAGTTCTTATTAATATGTTTTGTATATGCAAAATGAAGTAAAATTCTAGCATAGAATCTGTTAGTGAGTGATTTGTGGAGGCAAGAATGTTGAGCAGTCAGAGCAGGGTAAGTGTATTTACTGTTTCCCTTCTTGGGGGGTAGTGAGAACCAAGCACTATCCTGCCTTATCCTGCGTAGTATCACTTTGCATTTGAAGCTCATTTCCCAGAAGGACAATTTTTAATTTTATTTTTTAAACAAAAGTCTCCTTCAGTTTTATGCTTCCCTTGCAATGATTATTAGAACAGATTAGATCTTTTTGTGTTCTTAATTTCACACTGCTCGACTTCTGAAGCATTATTTTTTCCTAGGTGAGAACCAGTTGTGAGCTAGTGTAACTCCTGTTAGGAATCAGTAAGCTGTACCTGAAATGAATTGGGCTTTTTGAAAAAAAAAATATGAAAAAAGCGATGGCAGTATTCCTTGTCTTCCACCAGTTTCTCCTACAGTACTCTTTGACATATAAATGTCAAACTACAAACACTGGACTGCATCTGAGTTATTCTTGTGGGTTAGAAGCTTCTCTTGCTTTTTGAAATATCCACTGTATTTGTTTGATGATGATGTGAAAGACAAGAAACCCCTTTGTTTGCTTTTGCATTTCAGGTTTAAAAGAAGCCATGGGAGCATCAGGAGGACAGTGGGTGTATGTTAGTGATGCCCATGTTCAGATGGTTCCAGAATCAAGAGTACTAAATGCACAAGCATATCTACTTTTTTATGAAAGATTATTACTATAATTCTCCACAGTTTAATTTAAAAGATGGTAGTGGTTATTTAGTTTATCTTATTTAAAGCTGCAGTGGTAAGAGTACCTGTATATATTGTGCCTTTATCTTGTAGAGAATTTATCATATGTTGACTCTGAAGTTCAGTCAAGCTATTATAAATATCTGAATGGTTCTCTTAAAGTATGCACTTTGCCAAACATTTAAAATCCCTGGATTCATTAAAATACAGTAACGTTAGAATGTAAGATGATGTCCTATCCTACTGAGGTCTATGGAAAGTTTGTTCTTGATTTTCATAAAGATAAGCTCTCGCCCATAGTTCTAGAGCAGTTGAGAATATAAATGCTGATAGCGTTAAGTGCCTGGATTTGCTAGTGTACAGTAACAACATGAAGTATTTCAACTTTTTGTGATCTAGTCCAGATCCTTCCTGTCACTAGGTTGGATGCCAGCTGTTAAGTTTTCTGCAAACAAGAACCTGTCAAATCGTGTTGCTTCCACATGTAGTAACTGGAAAGCGCCGTGTTTCCAGAATGGAGTACCAGCAGCTGCCTCTGGGTCGTGCTACGGTGGGAGGAGATGTGGCTTCCACAAAGGGACAGTGAATCCTCCGGTACCCAGTACCCTGTCAGCTGTCTGCAACTGGCACCCGTATAGCAACGTACTCCTGTTTTAATATAAATACATACTTGGTGTGCACATATGTATATATGCACACCATCAATATATATTGTCATTTTATCTGCTAGGAAAGAGAATTGCAAATACTTCTGTATTTAGTAAATCTTCAACTTCACAGTTATGACAATGTACAGCACATAAGCCTGTGTATGAATACGTATGGGGTTTAAGTGTAACTGAGTAATTCTATTACTTTTGGTTCTAAACATGAATTTGTGTATCTGTTCCTGAATACTTTTCTCACAGGAGTAATAAACTATAAATTATTTTTGCACTGTGTGTGTGAGTTGGACAGTAAATGATGAATTTTGCCCTCTGCTACACATCTGGACGTCCCTTTGTCATCAGTAGAGGACAGCGGGTGTCCCAGTGGCAGAACTTGCTTCTGGATCCTGTTTGACTGCTCTGTTTTGAGTTGTTACTTCTTTTGGTAACTTTTCATTTCCAACCCAGAGAGGACGTTTTCAGGTCAAGATCTGATGACTGCTTTGAAACTATGTAGTAATTAATTTATTTAATAAGCAGTTACTTAAATACAAATTACATGTGTGTTTATTTCTGCTTACTGTTTTCATTTATGGAAATGGTTTTTGGTGAAAAAACATGCTGTCCCTTTTACTGTCTCTACCTCGTGGTGTCAATAGCCACTTGCACATCTTTCCTGTTCTCTAGTTCTGCTTCAGAGCTTCATCCCACCTGCATTCACTCTTTTGCATAAGAAAATAGTAAAATGGGCCACAGTTGCATTTGCTCAATCAGCTGAGGTGTGTTTTCTAGCCACGTTACATGTACATACGTGTGCAAGGGCTAAGGATTGTTGGGCCGCACAACTGACCGTCGTAACAGAGGGAGCCCCTGGTCACACGGGATTTTATTTTCTGAAGGAAAACTCCTCTGCTTGGGTCAAAACTGGGCTGTGCATTTTGGCCACTGCAATCATTTTTTCCCTCCACAGATTAACATTGCCTCAATCTACTCCAAAGTAGTGAAACTCAGAGGAAATCAAGCAGTCAACTTTAACCATCCAACTAAACACATCTTAAGTCTACACTAAGACTTAAGTCTACACTAAGAAAGAAAACAACAAAACAAAAATGTTTAGACTAGAGTTGGTTGAAATATGTTAATTCTCTTTTTATCTCCTCATTTTCCCATACCTTTCATCCACCTACACACACCTTCCCTCTCTTTGTATATACCTGATCAAAACTCGGACTTAGTTCTGGGCAAGAATCACAGCAAATGCCAACCAGGTTTCACCTCTGTGACACGGTCTTGCCAGGCAGCCACAGACGGAGTGTCTCTGATCCACCTCAAAGCAGACAGACTGACTAGGTGAGGCCTGAAGTTCCTAGTTTTGCTGACTGGTGTAAAGCAACTGAACTTAAGCATCTATATTAATCTCCTACTTTTTAGCCTAGAACTACCTCCCTAGAGCACAAAACTAGGAGAGAAACAGAACAAGGTTCTTAACCTGTATTTTCTTAACTTTAATGTTATTTTCAGGAAACTCTTGAGGTGGTCATCACTTCTCTTTAACTGGAGTCTGCACACTGTTTGGACTGCTGAAATCTTTCCAAATGGACAGTAATACTGACAGGATGCCATGAAAGATGCTGGCAGGATTATTTCCTCATTAACAGCTAGGGAACATTTCCTTGCTATTAAGGTATTTTATAGACCATGGAGAGAAAAATGGCACCAAAAAAAGCGCTAACAAACACATTTATCTGAGATAGCCACCACTGTTGCTCCTGGAAAAGCAGCATTAGCAGCAACTCCAGTAACTTCAGAGTCAAGAACGTGTATGAAAATATTAGAGAAGGAAACATCCTCTAAAAATGAGGGCAACAGGTGAAGTTACAGCTTTAGAATGAAGAATGGATGACTAATGTGAGATGTCACACACAATTTTAGATGCAAGTCACACTTACTGTGTCCTTCAAGACACGGGGGTTTTTTGTGTGGCAAAATTTAGCTCCAAATCAAACGCTTGTACATAAATATGCATAACTGAAGACCTGTTCTAGTTCCTTATCAGGAACTGCAAGAGAAGGTCAGGGTGTTACAAGAAAACAGGGGTGTACATCCTGCGTTTGCTAAAATGTTAAACATGATTCTGGAGGCTATTTGCAGAGTCTAGGAACTGATGCATGCACACCAGTGAAAGCTATGGCTTTTCAGAATTTAATTGAGGAGCTTCAAAGTTTAAGACTGTCCTTAAAATATCTTCTGTTACCAGACCAAAAAAATCTTTCCAGGCCTACAGCATGTACTCCTTATAGAGGTACACCACACCTTGTTGGGTTTTGGTTTGATTTGGGGTTCTTTGTTGTTGTTTTTGGTTGGGTTTTTTTTTGGGGGGGGGGGGGGGGTGGGTTTGAGGGTTTTTTTTGGAGTCTCCTTCTCTGGAGACATTCAAAACCCGCCTGGACGCCTTCCTGTGTGATCTCATTTAGGTTCTTGTCCAGCAGGGGGATTGGACTAGATGATCTTCTGAGGTCCCTTCCAATCCCCAACATTCTGTGAAAGTGCAGTAGCCTGCTTCTATTTGGAACAGCTTAGAAACATCTTTGTCTTTGTCCCACCCTTCTCTTCTCAATAGGACACCCCTGTTTTCTTCATCAGCCTCATCCCTGCTCTATGTTTTGGCATCTCCATAAACCTCCATCAATGCCTTTTCTTTCACTGATCCTTAACCATAACGTTTCCCAGTCCCATCACTTGCACTCCATCAACTAGCAAAACTTACTGGAGTGAGAGCCACTGTAACTATAGTCTTGCCTCTCCCTACCACTGCACTGGCTCTACCTACAAATGGCAAGACACCTGAGAAAAGCTGTGACTCCTGAGCTGCTCTCCGCTGACCAGCCACAAGACACGGTGCCTTTAGACCAGTGAGACAGAAAGCAAAGGAAATAGTTCCTCACTCTTCAGTACGTAAACGTCATTTACAAGAAGTACATGGGCAGCTGGAACCCCCTGCGAATCCCCAGGGTGGAGGCATCAACAGGCAGGTCTATCAGCCAAGGAGTCAGTCCAGATTACAGAGTCTTTCTCTTCAGAAATAACTTTGTTCTCTTTGCATTTATATACCATTTATACCACATATGGCAAAAGGTGATGAGGAGAAGATTTATTACACTAACCTATCTACACCAATACATGTACAGATTTAATGTTTGTGTAAGCCTGTTCTCCTAAGAGAGGGCTGCTAAATACTTAGTGGTGAAGGAAAAACAAACAAACAAATCCTAAACTCCTCTGCCCAAAATGCAAGCACTGTAATCCTCTTTGTTTAGGAAATTAAATCCGTGCAGTCTGCCAAGCCTTCCTCCCCTACTCCCACCTGCACCCTCTGTGCCTATCAATGAAGCGCTCTTGCTTACCGATTTCAAGTGGCAGCAAGTGAGAGTGCTTTAAAAATTCATTAAAAGGCTGAAATGTCTTAACTTCACCATTTGCTTCTCTTTGGTCTTCTTTTTTTATACTGACACAAACTGAATCATAAAGGGACATGAAACTAATGCATCTATGTTCTCAAATTAAGCCCTTATTTAAAGTCTTATTTTGAATGTATAGTAACAAAGATTTGGAAAGGAATAATTTCTTGAGGAGAAACTTTAAGATGTATTAAAATGAGTTCAAAGAAAGCAATTGAATAGAACTCTTATGTTAGCAAAAATTAGCAATTCCAATTTTAATTAAAAAGTGGTAGGACAGCTCACAAACAGCTTTACAGCAGCCCTGATTAAACAAAAATTTGACATTCCTCAGTTTTCATCAGCCAGAAACTTTTTTTGCTGTGCTGTGTACACATTTATGCATTTGCACAAAGATTTATATATCTATGTGAAAGAGATGCCACTAAGTTTCAGGAGAACCATTTCAGTATAACTATTTTAGAATGGATTATTTTTGCTTCTGTATCTATTTAGTGTGTCTTAGGATGTCATTTTGCCAGCTGTTTCAGCTGTTTGTACCTCTCCCATTGGTGCATAAATAAACTGCAGAAACAGTGGAAAAGTGATTACTCAAAATGATTCAAAATCAAACTGAGATTATAAAATATATTTTCAGAGAGAAGCCTGTTAGTGCAAGTCAAAACACTTCCTTTGCACAACATTATAAGAAAAGTCTAAGTGAATTTATTTGTTATAATAAAACAATTGCAAAGCACTCTAAGTACTTTAAAGCTACTTGGTATAAATTCAATTTATATAAAGTTATAAATACTTCTGTCTTCATTGGTATTAGCAGAGAAACTATTTTTAAGTCAAGAATGTTTCTTACATCTATTGCAGCTTCCAGTATTTTTCCAGTACAAAACATAAAGCTGCAGTACTGCTTTTAAAAGCCAACAGAAAAGCATTTATTTTGAGTAGGTTTATGACTTCTTAGCACTTAACTAATTGTTTTGCTGGGTTATGTTTTTGGTTTTGAGCTGTGTAACCTGGGGATCATTACAATGAACTCTGTAATGAAACCTCCATGTCAACAGCAGCAATTCTCTATTTAGTCATTTTACAAAGTTAAGTTCTGATTCTACTGTCATTTGTGCAGGGGGATAGTCTCTGATGTGTTCATGTGTTCTTGCACTTGTACAAAAGACAATCCAAGTAATCAAAAAACCTGTTGCTAACTCCAAAATACTTGTCAGCAATAAATCAAGCATGTTCAAAGTTTCATCTTGTTTTCATCTGCTT